GCACAGTTAAATTATTCAGAAAACATTGAGTAATGTGACTCTTTTAGGTTAACTAATGTCGAAACATTATGGGGAGTTTTTCCTTTTGTACACAGTTAAATCATTCAGAAAACATTGAGTAATATGACTCTTTTAGGTTAACTAATGTCGAAACATTATGGGGAGTTTTTCCTTTTGTACACAGTTAAATCATTCAGAAAACATTGAGTAATATGACTCTTTTAGGTTAACCAATGTCGAAACATTTAACACAGAAATTCTGTTGTATTATTGATTATCTTACCTGCCTTTTCTGAAAGAACTGATAGCCGTCTTCTACAACCTAAAGTAATATAGACTGTTAGTTTAAAGGATAAAAAATTTGTGAATAAATATTTAGTTTTTTTTCTCCTATGTCATATTTAAAACTGAGAAATTCTTAAAATGAAAAAATTTCCTTCACGTTATTTCAACATACACACATGTTGTAGCCTATATTAAGAAAAGCCAACACTGTCTCATAAACACTTAAAAATTATTGGGGAAAGTTACTGTATTTGAACAATTAGCAACCTTTTCAACACCTCCCACTCTCCAGCATCTGACGCTTATCTCAGTAACCTCAACATTTCTCAAGCTACGGTGGATTAAATGTAACAATCAACAGACCCCTTCCAACAGAAAGACTTATATCAAATGTTAAAAAACGTGAGTATGAGGAAAGTACCAACAAAATCCGTTTTTTCACTTGGATAATTAAAGTAGCGAATGAAAACTTACCTGGTGACCCCTGACAATCAAACTAAGATCATGTTTCTCTAGAAAGGTTCGAACTACGTCCCCACCAAAAGTGTAGGATACCCCTCTGTCGTTCTCTCCCCAGCCTGTTATATCCTAAAACCAGAAATATAATATTTATAGTTAGGTTTTATTCTGTTTATTCTATATTATATGCTAAAACTAGAAATATAATGTTTGTATTAGTTTTGTTCTGTCCATCTCATTATATTCTAAGGCCAGAAATATAGTGTTTGTATTAGTTTTGTTATGTCCATCTCATTATATTCTAAGGCCAGAAATATAGTGTTTGTAGTTCGTTCTTGCTCTGTCCATTCTATTATATTCTAAGGCCAGAAATATAGTGTTTGTATTAGTTTTGTTCTGTCCATCTCATTATATTCTAAGGCCAGAAATATAGTGTTTGTAGTTGGTTCTTGTTCTCTGCAGCTTGTTTTATTCTTTAAAGAAAAGTTATACTGATTATGCCTTGTTATCAAACTCTACATAGTCTATTTATCTCTCTGTCTCTCTCTATACACACAATCTTCATCCAAAACTGACCGTATCATTTGATTGATATAAATTACTAACAAATATACGTTGTGGAGAAAGAAGAAAGATGTTCTTAAAGTTTCCTTTGAAATATCAAAAATTTATCACTTATAACCTTTAAGTATCTACAATGCATTGTTATTTTATAAAACACTACTAAATGGTTTTACCCATTCCATCCCAGTTTTAAATTCAATCTGATTAACGCTTGTCATATATATTATCTATACTACAATAACAGAAGCTTTGAAAACAATTAGAATCTTCGATTGCCATATCTATAGCAGTTTCTACCTATCTTTAAACCGTTAAATAGACGAACAAACTACTAAGGAGATCTAAGTAAAAAGGGTATTTAATGTATAATTAACTGTCAAAATGTCTGACCTTCTCCCGAAAAAACATTGTTTTTATTGACCATGATACATGCTTAACCATGATTAAAAAATATTAATTGATCGAAAAAAAGATTACATAATATCTACTCTTTGAGAGGTGGAAATTTAAATTATCTTAAGTTTATATATATAAATATTCATAGTGCTATAAAATTTTCTAAAAATATATTCCCAAATTTTTAACATTTGCGACCTCTTTTAGGGTAAACTGATCGTTCTTATCCCACAACATTTTACATATTCTCCTTTTATACAGAAGATTAGTACGTTATATTGAAACGAATTTGGAGACACACTACGCTGTTATAGTCCATGTCATCACGTCCAGTCATGTTCTATCTGACGGCTGTGTATATTGACAATAGCCCTGCAGTTACTTTACAAATGCTCCACACGTTGATACTTGTCATAATCTATCTAAGGCACGGGGATGAAGGTTTCTTAGCGGTTGTTTCGACACTGAATGCACAGAAATCCATAGGTATGTCTTCTTACGAAATAGCACGAATACCCGTTTCATTCTCCAGCTGCTTGAGGTATGCGTCGGTTGAATGGACATGTCATGGAAATAGACATGTGTACATACGACTTGTGTTTTTGTAGATATAGATCATTCTTGATTATGTCGTGTACTCTTAACTGGGACAACACGTGAACGACTTTTGACACTGACCTTTGTGTCCTCAGATTCTCACCTTTTACGATATGCCGCACGTTTCTTACCACGACTGAGGTGCCACTTGTTAAATGTCTCTTTATGGATGGTCCTGGGTCCCCAACTTCATCCATATTCCTTTGTTCTTCAATGTCAAGAATTATAACGAATATTCCGTCTTGGAAATTCTAAATCCCTTATCTAAACACTTCTTTATGATCTAAGTATAGAATACTTTGCGTCGAAAAGAGCTATTACATACTCTTCGTAAATGTGATCAATTTTCAGTCATCACACTATTAAAATGTAGTTCTGATACAAAAACAATTATTTGTTATTTTTAGGTAATAACACAAGAGACATTTGTTATTTTATAGTTAAAACTGACGCAGCAACATGATGTAGATTAGACAGTTCTTGCCAGCAATTATTATGAGAGATTAAACATTGAAAAGCTAATAATTCTCCTAACAGAAACGTGGATGCTTGTCGAATTTAGGAAAAAACACTTTCCTTGAAACTCTTTTAAAACAGTATGTGAACTTTAGTTGTTGTGTTGATTTCATCAACTAATCGTTATTTTTTGTTATACGAGTTAGTTTCACCAAATAATTATGGTTAATTATTATTATTTTGCAGCTCCAGCAAATACCTCGTCCTATTGACGTCCCTGACCACGGCCTTGTCTGCGATTTATTGTGGTCAGACCCGGACGAGGTAGGTCACCACAGGGTTGAGCACGTTATATTAAAAATATTTTAAATATCCAAATCAGCAAGTCGCGCCATAACCATAACCTATATAAAGTTGTGGTGGAACGGATAGATTAAGTTTGGTTTGTTTTGAATTTCGCGCAAAGCTACACGAGGGTTATCTGCGCTAGTCGTTCCTAATTTAGCAGTGAAAGACTTGAGGGAAGGCAGGTAGTCATCACCGCCCACCGCCAATTCTTGGGCTACTCCTTTACCAACGAATAGTGGGGTTGACCGTCACATGATAACGCCATCATAGTTGAAAGGAAGAGCATGTTCCGTGGGACGAGGATTCGAACCCGCGATCCTCAGATTGCGAGTCAAGCCCCCTAACCACCTGCTCATGCCAGGCTCTAATTGTTTTAGAACAAAAGAAAAAAAACACCAACAACAACTGTTGATTTTTATATATATTTTTTTTTTGAGTCACAATTAACTTCGCTGTACAGAAATAAGTATTTGATTTGTTTTCCTCTGGCAGTTACCATCACGTTAAGCAGTTTTAATTACAAACTGATTGGAATAAGTAATTATGTTTTTGTGACTCAAATATTATAAGCATAAAAAAAACACAGAAATAAGTTATTGACAAACATAATTACGCGGAAGAAATTTGTTCGTACTTGAGTCTTTAGAGGGCAATTTAAATATAAATCACAAAAACGGGTAATGTTTCTAAAATCTAATGCACCACACACAAAAAAGAAACTAATGACGAGTTCTCTTAGGACAGACATTTGCAAAATTAACTCTAAATCCAAATATTTTAATATACAGTTGTTCAAAGTTTATTTATTTATAGTAAATTATTGCTACACTGAGAAAATCTATGATCAAACTTTAGTTCTTGAGACTAAATATGATCTAAGGCAGTTAGTTATTTAATGATTATGTAGTTTTTGATGTAACTAAGAGATGGCAGCACTAACCTGTTCTAGATGAAGTAAATCCGGTGAGAGGCCACCATGCATACAGAATATTGTACCCTCTATTAAGGCAGCTACAGAATTACAGAAAAAAAAATAGATTCATTATTAAATCGGTTAATTTTAATATATCTCATTTAAATCTTTTTAACAATACAACTTCGCTCCGGAACTGAAGTTTAAGTGAGGATAATCGTGTAAACGCAGACTCATCCTTTTTCTTACTAACGAATAAAAATAAAAATTCAAGATTTATATTATTAACAAATGACGTTTTTCCTTTATTGTATTATTTGTTTGTTTTTGAATTTCGCGCAAAGCTACACGAGGGCTATCTGCGCTAGCCGTCCCTAATTTAGCAGTGTAAGACTAGAGGGAAGGCAGCTAGT